CAACAGCAACAGCAAAAAATCAGGGAAATCATAAACAGCCAAGAATTAAAGTCTATTACTTATATAACACTAATGATTATACTGTTTTTGGAGCTAATGCTTCAAATTAATCCATTCCTCATTCTGACTCAAAGTTAACAACCTTTACTTCAAATAGCTGTTATATATTTTTTAAATTTGTGTAATAGGAGACTCACAGAAGGAACCCTAAACTAGGAATCAGGAGAACCAGGGTTATGGTCCTATTCTGTCACGAACTAAGACAGCTGGACCCCAACACTCTATGGCACTATGATTCTACATCAAAACATGCAATCCCAAAGTAAAAGGCTAAGATACCTGCTATCCTAAAATTGTATTTTATTATTACTAAAACAGAAACATGGTACAAGAGAGGTGACCTGACAAGAGATTTGATTCTAGGTGTAATGAGAAAATATACCTACAACAACAAATTTTTGAATTACAGGAAGTTCTATCCCCAGTCAGTTCTCTCAAAAGAGATAGGGTCAGGGTGGGCATCCAGCTGGAGCCACTTTAAACTTTAGCTTAACATTAATAAGAACACCAGATACCTCCACCCTAACACTCCTTTCCCTAAGGTGAACAGCACTTATAAGAAAGATCTAACAAAGTACAGACAGGCAAAAATACAAAAAACAGTGGAGACAGCAGTTTGGTGTATCTTGATAGGTAAACTCTTACTTTGTATTTCACCGAAAAATTACGGAAAAGGCAACTTGTTTTAATCAATTTTATTTCCAAACTGCCTTTTCTAAAATAAGTATTTCTCGATGGACAAAAATAAGGCTTTGCACACTAAGGTACCCCTATGTTCTCTTCCCCCTTCCCCTCAAAATAAAAACTACATGAATATTAAGCATTTAACAAGTCTGCCAAATACACCTCTTTGAATGTATTCCTGTAGGAGCTGAACACATATACAAAAGGCAAATCAGCATGGCAAGAGGTTTTCTGAAAGGCTGTGATGACTAACATTTCAGGACTGGAATGTGATAGTTATTAAAAGAAACACGAGAGGCGAGGCGTTCTCCCAGTTCCGCATAGGCCCATATCTCCACTGCAAGAACTACTACAAACAGCATTCAGTGCTGAATTCACACAGTCTATTGTCTCAGGCCTAAATCATCTTTTGCAAATTTCCCTCATGTCACATATTATGTGAATCAAAGAAACCAATCAGCAATTCATTTGTTGAAGGTCAGATATAGGGCACAATAAGGTCCATGCACTCAAATGAATTTAAAAAGGGAGGAAAAAGAAAACCAAGATAACTTCTTGTTGAAAATGACGCCCTAGAATCCAGCAGACAGAACTATACAGAAAAAATTAGATTGAGATCGTATGGTGGTAGTTACCTCCTGACATGTACCAAACACCTTCCTCCAGGTTAAAACAAAAGTTCACCTAGCAGGTGGTTCACACCTTTATACATGACTTGAATATCAACCAAGGTTTTTTCAAATGCCTTCCGTCATGAACTGGATTGCCAAGCAAAGGCAAAGGAGGCCACCCATGAAAGACCACCAGAAAGCCTCACCACTGCCAATATTTCAGATTTAATAAGAGCATTCTTAGCAAGTTCATGTCCAAAGATTTCAGTCTCCAAATTCAAATATTTTGCGTCCTATTTCAACTAATTACAAAAGCGTTAAAAGACTGAGCTCAGACTTTCCTATTCGAGTAAGTAGAATTTACAGACCACTTCTTAAGAAATAGTCCTAATTTGGGGCGCCTGGGTGGCTCAGTTGGTTAGGCCTCCAACTTTGGCTCAGGTCATGATTTCACGGTTTGTGAGTTCAAGCCCCACATCGGGCTCTGTGCTGACAGCTCGGAGCCTGGAGCCTGCTTCGGATTCTGTGTCTCCCTCTCTCTGTTCCTCCCCCGCTTGCACTGACTGACTGTCTCTCTCTCTCTCTCTCTCTCTCTCTCTCTCTCTCTCTCAAAAATAAATAAAGATTAAAAAAAAAAAGAAAAGAAATAGTCCTCTTTTTGTTGTCTTCAAGACACACTTTACCTGTTGGAAGGAGTGTAAATAAATATAAACTTTCAGATGGCAGTTTGGCATGCCTATCAAAAATTAAAACATGAAGGTACCTTTTGATCCACCAATTACATTTGAGAAGTCTATTATATGACATTTTGGATGTAAATATAAAAATGTTCATTCAACGCAGTATTTTTATAAAGGTAGGAAAATCATATATGCTGATTAACATATGGGATGCCATTCAAAAGAACGGGCTATTAGACCCACATGTATTGATGTGTAAAGAACTTCAAGAAACTTTGTACAGTGAGAAAAGCAAGTTTCAGAAAAACTGCGCATGTGTGTGAATGCATGTATATATAAAACTGCACAAAAAATGGTCTGAAAGAATTCACACCAAGCAGGTAACAGAAGCTACCCTCTGGGAAGGAGAGTGGATCAATGTGTGTGGGCTGGAGTGGGCGAAAAAGGAAGGGCAGTTTAAAATTGGGACCTTCACTTTCTGTGCTTTATGCACCTGTATTATTCACTTACATCATAGATTACAAAACATTTATTCTTTACAGAAAGCGAGAAAATGCAATGTCAAATTTTAGCTAAGCTCTAGAATCACTTATATGCTGCAACAGGAAAAGAAGTAAAGACCGCTGATAGTCAAAAACATCCCTATAGATTTGAACCTCAAGGGAACAAAGAAATGTAGGCAGCATCAGTCAGTAGTTACAAACAAGTATGACAGCATTTTCACAAACAAGCATCACTCAGAGAACAAAAAGATTACAACTTTAAGATTATAAAGGACACTGAAATCAGAAACATTACTCAAAAGATATAATCATTCCAAATGTCTCCTGGAAATTCAGTTTTAACAATGAATTCTATTACTTTGGTACAAAAAGTATACTCTGGGTATGCTCTTTTGACTTAAAAATCTGGCATATACAAAGAGCTAAATGGTATGGGGTGTTTATTCTTACCTGTACATTTTCTTCTGTAACCTGAATTTCTGCAGTGTAAACATAATCAATTAGCATCCTCAGGGTCCAGCCATCTACCTCTTTTATTCGAACTCTCTTTGCTCGGCTCTCACTCATCTCACCTAAAACACAAAAGAGTGAGAGTAACGCTACAGCAAGACACTCTGTGAAAATACCAATGCCAAGACAGATTCATCCATTTTCTTGCCACTCATTGTATTTGGAGGCAACACAATCCGCCGCTTCTTGCAGACCTGCAACATTTCATCACCTCCCCTGAAAGCTTACCTGAGCAAACCATAATATGTACTTTCATTACCCACTTACACCTGAAAATCACATCACCACACTGAATGTGCCACGTGTCCAACTATAATACCTGTGACATTGTAAGTTCAGTATCTGATGCTTTCCATGGTTTTTCTGGTCCGTGTTTTTTTGTTTTTTTGTTTTTTGTTTTTTTTTTGTAAGAGAGAGAGAGAGAGAGAGAGAGAGAGGAGAGAGGAACAGAGGGGCAGAAGGAGAGAAAGAGAGAATCCCAAGCAGGCTCTGCTGACACAGGGCTCAATCCCATGACCCCAGGATCATGACCTGAACCAAAATCAAGAGGCAGAAGTTCAACAGACTGAGGCACCCAGGTGCCTCTGATCCATGCTTCTGAGCATCTTGTTTTCTTTTTCGATTTCCACTCATGACTAGAAGAGTCACAATGTTACCCCTTTTGGCTAACAGCAACCAGTACTTGCTAAAAAGGACTCACTGGCCTAGCAGCATTCATTCAACAAGCACAGCAGTGCTGGTCATGGGCATGAGTGGCCTGGACACAGAGGCTCTGCCCTGGGGGATGACACAACCTTCATGCAGGAAACAAGTAGAACACACATTACAGAAGATGCTGAGGGAAGACAAGACAAAAGAGGGATCATAAAAAGGTTAGTCAATGGCAAGGGCTTGTTATAGGGATCTTCTAGCCCAAGTTCTCATCTGGTTTGTCATCTATAGTAACTTTGCCCACAAATGGTAAGTCATTTCCATACCAACATTTATTACTAAAGCCAGACATTCTTCTACGTCACTGCCTGCTAGAAAAATGCTATACAACCTCTCTCTTTTACTCACTGAACTAATTAAGCATTCAAGGATCATAAATAAGATCCTCTCTTGTGGAAAGAAACAGGAAAGCAGAAAAGAGAAGGGAATGTAGGGAGAGAAAGCAGCAGGTTTGAGCACACATGTGTGGACAAGAGAAAATGACCCAAGACATAGGGAAACACAAACTTTCGAATGGAGGGGAAAGAAAACTTCAATCAAAAATGACAAGGGCAGAAAAAAAAAATGACAGAGGCAGTTTAAAAATTATGATGAGTGCTATAAGACACCTTAAAGAAAAGGTTTGGTTCTAGAATTCACAAGGCTTCAAAGATCAAAGAAGCATGAAAACGATGCTGCCACCCCTCACCTTCACCTTAATCCAGCATCTCCTGTTAGAAAAACAACATAATGAAGCCTCAGGATTTCTTGAAAGTTCATTTCTTTTTTAGACACAGTACACTGTCAGCGACCATAAGCTATCAGAAAAGCCTATGGGAATCAATAATTACACCAAATTCCTTCGTAAACACAAACGCTGGGAGGAAAGAAATGATAATGATGTACATTTAACTGCGTGCCTCCCTGGAGATTATTTCTGACAAGATCTCAGAAAGAAGCTGTTTTCCTAAGAGCTAAAATATCTCAAAACTATCCTGCCACTTCCCAGGGGAGGAAACATCTATCTGTATTACAAGGGAAGGGAGCTGGTTAATGAGAAAGAGGTATATATGCCTATACAGCAGAAGACAGGGATTGGGTTACGAGTCTGCTGCCTAAGCACGTTTTTCCCTCTAAAAAAACGGAGGGAAAAAGAAGGGCTGAGAAATACAGAAATATAATTCTTCATCTGCATATAAGGCACGTTCCTCTATCCTACTCTCTCTGGATCTTGCAGACAGATGGGATTTGTATTATCTGGAAGTTCTTTGGTGCCAAAAGTAAAGACACTTGGGTAATTCTCACTTGGACTTTAGACAAAAGCCACACCTAATTCATCTATAAGGCTCAAGCGATGCAAAAAACCCCACAGGGCCTGGGGCCACACGAATATAAAACCATGCACTTAGTTCTCAAGGATTGAATTCACCTCTTAGGACTTAGCATGACTTAGCTTAGACACAAACACGTCTGACTTTAATTTATATATATATGACTGCCAAGCAATTTTTAATATCATCATTTCTAAAGTATTACTAGAAGACATACTTTGCTAATTCATACATTCCAAGGATCATTTTTAATATGAATTCTTTCCCCAGAAAACTGCATCTGCTTCCAACAAATTCAATCTCTATCATACACTGCTTTAGAAATGTTTTAATCTTTGTTTCATGTTAACCTGTGAAAGAGTATCAAAACAAATAGCTTGTCACAGATTGCATTAATAGCTTAAGAATTCCAGTAAATACTGAGAATTAATACTAAAGACATACTAAAGACAGGTGTAAAAGCTTTAGATTTAGAGTAAAAGTAGATTTAGATCTAATTCTAGTTTTTATATACCACCTGAGTTACTGCTCTTTGCTGTTTATAGAGAAAACCTTTAAGTAGTATGGTTTGTGACATTTACTTTTGACAAGGCATTAAAAAAACATATCCAATGTAGTCAGGTGTCCAACTCTTGATTTTAGCTCAGGTCATGGTCTTGTGGTTTGTGGGATTGAACCCTGTGTAGGACTTCATGCTGACAGTGCAGAGTCTACTTGGGATTCTCTCTCCCTCTCTCACTGCCCCTCCCTCCCTCCCTCCCTCTCTCAAAATAAATGAATAAACATTTAAAAATTAAAGAAATAGGGGTGCCTGGGTGGCTCAGTTGGTTAAACATCCGACTTTGACTCAGGTCATGATCTCACAGCTCATGGGTTCAAGCCCTGTGTCGGGCTCTGGGCTGACAGCTCAGAGCCTGGATCCTGCTTTGGATTCTGTGTTTCCAGCTCTCTCTGTCCCTCCCCACTCATGCTCTGTCTCTCTCTCATAAATAAATAAACATTAAAAAAGTTTTTTAATAAAATAGAATAATTAAAAAATATCCAATGATACTGTACAGAGTTTACCTGGTATCGTTTTTAACTTCACAGAGTCTCTCTCCAAATTAGAGTGTTATGCTTCTGTATTTCGATCATGTAGACCTCTGAAGCTCTATGTGGATATCCACACAGACATCATCACTAAAATTCTGAGAGTCACTTTTGACTCTCCCCTCTTCCTTACCCACCCATGCCATCATTCACTAAAACCTGCAGAATTAAGCTCAGGGAGATCTCAAATCAAATACACCCCCCCTCATCCCTTCCACCACTATGTCACCAGGGTCCCTGCTAACACCACCACAGCAACTTCCTAATTGTTTCCCACCCCCCAGGAGGACTCCACAGATCTAACCACGGCACTCAAAAGCCATGAGCTGCTCTTAGTCCAGGTGTGTGAGCCCCTTCCACATCCCATCCCTGCTTAGCTATCCAGCTTCCTCTCTCCCTCTCCCACTTCTAGCCTTAAAATGTATCAGGAAGGAACTTCCCATAGTTCATATACAGCGAACAATATCCTGCTTTAATGCCTTTGTTGAGTTTTCTCTTTCTCTCCCCATGCTTCCATTTACCAGGCTAATCTCCATTCTTCAAGATTCAGCTGGACCCTCTGCAAATAGGCTTACCTGTTAATGAGCCAAGGCTGGGTTAGACTCCCAACCTGGGTACACTTGGGTACCTACTGCAAATGCACTCTGTTATACTATACCTAGCTCTCCCCACCTAGATCTTGAACTCCCTGAGAGTGAGATGTCTTTCTCATCTTGTCTCTGTATCCCACAATGACTGACCTATTGTAGATACCCAATAAATTCTGGTTGGATAAATGAATGACTAAAAAAATAAAAACTAAAGTGTAACAATTTAAAATGTAGGATCTTTACTCAACATAATTAACATGTGAATTAATCTCAAGCATGGGTATTCTAGCTATGAAGGATTTCAGTCAATATTCATTGAATATCCACTATACATCCCAGGCCAAGCTATGCCCTTCACTAGTGAACACTGCACCATCTCTACTTTTTTTCTTTTAATTTTTTAATTGTTTATTTATTTTTGAAAGACAGAGAGATGGAGCTTGAGTGGGGGAGGGGCAGAGAGAGAGACAGAGAGAGAGACACAGAATCTGAAGCAGGCTCCAGGTTTTGAGCTGTCAGCACAGAGCCCAACGCAGGTTTGAACCCATGGACTGCTGAGATCATGACATGAGCTGTAGTGGGATGCTTAATCTGCTGAGCCACCCACATGCCCCTCATCTCTACTTTCTTTGAGAAAAAAATGAAGTCCTCCAAATTGTAAAAGTTTATGGACATATCTCTGAATAGGAACATTTCCATCTCAAGGACCTTTAATTAAGACTCCAGAAATCCAGCACAAACTGGTAACTTTATTCATCCATTCTAAAGTTCTAAAAAGTGAATAGGTTGAGACGGCAAACCCTAAGATCTGTTTCAATACAAAAATCCTATGATTCTAACTTCAGTTACTGTTCAGCATATAAAAATATTTGGGAAAAAAAAACATAAAAACAAAGAATCTTTACTGTGCTGAAACCTTAAGAAGTGAATGACAAATTTATAGCTACATTTAATAAATAAATTTTATTCCATTACTTTCAAGTTCACATGTATTCTAATCATTATTCTAATCATGTATTTGCCATTAGTCCTGGGTTACAAAGAAGCTACTGACACATAGGTATTTTCATTCTGGCAACCTGTCCTGGATGCCCCTGCCAGTCATTCCCTATGATGGTCATGGTGCATAACTCCCCAATTCTACCAATAATAAGAGGCAAATATGGTAACTGCATTCCCCTGCCAGTTTTGGTCTAGTTTGAGTAACTTCTGGGAAAGTTCTACTAGAGCCTAAAGGGGAGAAAAAAAGAAAAAGCAATCCCTCTCCTTCCTTGAGATGTTGGGTTCACTCTGATAGGCATCTTGCATTCATGAAGGGTAGCAACCTTGGTATAAAATTTTTACTGAGGCTAGCAGACAGAG